CTGAATGTAGCAAGAACGTTACTAAGTTGATAACACTGCAGAGTTTCCTCCAGTGTATTATAGGCCTGGCGGCCCACCATCCTTTACTAGCGCCACTGCCAGGCTAAGCCTTTCTTGTTTGTTTTTAGGAAAATAATAATAATAATAATAATAATAATAATAAAATAAAAAGAACTTCTTTTTGTTTTTTGTTTTCTTAAAGCTGGATTGCAAGCGTCTCTGTTGCTCTGAGCGCTTCACTGGGGGGAGCAGATTTATTCCTGAAAGATATGTTTATAGTTTATGCATTTAAAGTCGGACCAATCACACCACTGGCGCCTCTGCGCGTTGCCTCGCGCGCTGCAGTAGCTGGATTAAGTTTACCTCAGCGCGGATCCCGCGCGCCTCCTTTCACTCAAACTGGACACAGGCTGACCTGTATGGATATTTACATCAACCCCCTGTGAGGAATTATGATTCTTTCCAGAGGTTTTGATCAAGGTAGGACTTTAAAGACCACTCTGGTTAGCTCTGGTTGCGCAGCTCTATGTGAACTGCAGGAATAACTTGTCGTGCTTTCAGAGGTGCATTGACCGAGCGGTGAGAATGATTTATATTTGTGAACAAAGAATTTTGTGTGGCTTTTCCATCTCAACACGCCCAGTGCCTGGCTCTGCCTGCAATGATAAAGTTCATCCATGTGTTCCCGGTTGGCCGGTGTATTAGTTAATGAACTAGCGCTAACCTGATCATGCAGGTTCAGCCTGGTGAGGAGCTTTCGCGCTCTCCTGTCTGTAACGCATCATGCTGATTTTATGTTATTATTTTCAGTATTATTTTTCCGATTACACAATGCATCAAATCATATCAAATGCTTTGTCCACTTAGAGTTAATGTGCGCAGCCGCGTGGAGATCTGAGAAACTCGTCCCATAAACTCGACCAACCAGAATAGTTTCTGCAATCAGTTATAATTGCAGTTTACTAAATTGTATTTGTGAACAAACAGAGCTCAAACTTAAAGATTAAACTCATAGCATCAGACTGTTGCTATGGTAGCAAAATCTAACTATGAATATTGTTCTCTGAACTTTTACAAAGTAAACTTGCCAGCTCCTTAAACTCTTACATTTAAATGTTAAACAATTTAAAATCTTTTAATTTATGTATGCTGAAATTGAATTAAATTTAGCAGCATTGATCATCTCAATAAACAAATGTTACATTTATGTATCTGTGGTCTGTGTTAAAATATTAGCATATTTAATTTGGATTAAACAACAGTGCAAAAAATGTATATTCATTTTAATTGTATATTTTCATTTGTTGTTTTTAAGACTAGTTGTGGGTTTAAGTAGTGTTTCACTGGCAATGTTTTCCCGTAACGTATAATTACTGAGTGATATTTTAAAATTTCCTGTCACCTTAACATCTTTTAATACAAAAATACGGTGGACCGCCTCGGCACCCAGACCACCAGGCTTAGCAAGTTTTCTGGGGGAAACCCTGGCGTTTACTTCCATCTTGTTTCAAACAGCAACAAGATGGTGTCAGAAAGGGGAGCGAGTCGGTCGTGTGGTATTTGTTTGGTCATCTGACAGGTAGTGATGAAACAGGATATTGGGGTCTTTAATTGAAGCAGAGATGCAGATGGTTTTTACACAGTGTTGAAAGTCTGGGAAAATATGTTTATAATGTTGGTAAGTGCTGGTTATCAGCCATAACCGCAATATTAATATTGAATATTGGGCCAAAGTTTCAAATCGGTGCATTCCCAATACACTTTGCAACAGAAGGGATCATAGGAATTAAAAATTAATAATAAAAAAGTTCGACATTTTATATGAAATGTATATTTTTCACAATATATGTTTGGATGTCTTGCTGTCAAAAGGGTTATTGATCAGAAATTATAAAAATATAATCCAATAAAAAATATTAATAAAAAACGCTGAATGCAGACCTTGATGTACTTTTTATTTATGAAAAGAAAAAAAAAATCAGTCCAAATAACACATTCAGTTGAGCTCAGTATGGGTTTACATGTCTGATCCGACTGTTCAAGGTCAAGTTCTTTAAACTTAGACAACAGGATCCTGCTCACAGTTTAGCAAAAACAAATCTTCTGAATCATAATGTAGCTAATTTTCAAACTCCAAATTTAGCCTATTTTTCCCCACAAAGTCTTGCTTTGAAATGTAAATTAAACAGAAACATCATTAAACACAGAGACGCTTACTGACTGAATACGAGTCAGGCAAAGGGTCGGGTCAGAGGTCAGGAGATGATGTTGGTGTCTGTTGGTCTGTCAGGTCAGATGTCGTTTTGTTATGACAACAGTCGCCTGGGGAACAAAAAGCTGCAGTGTTATTAACAGGAAATGGGGTGACATCATTTCAGCTTAAAAGTGCTTCATTTAACCAAGCTGTCAGTCTACTTTACCTTTAAATAAGAAATAAGGAACTAAATGAAAGCAGAACAACAAAGCCAGAGCATGCAAGCTGACAGATACAGTGCCTTAGAAAAGTCTTTGTAAAAGATTTTAAAAAATACATTCACAGATGCTCTCTGTGCAACCTGACTGAGCAAAAAAGAAATATTAAAACATTTTATATAAAAATGAAGGTTTAAAACATTAACCATTAAACCAGATTCAAGTTTCTGAACAAAATGCGACATAATGAAAAAAGTTTGCAGGATATAAAGACTTCTGCAAGGCTCTGTAACTTACATATGTTATTGTGAAACTAGGGCTGAGCGATAAATCAACATTTTCAATCCATCACATTTTGAAGACTTAATTTTTGGGGAAAAAAATAAAAAATTTCTCACCAATTCATCCTTTGTGTTTCCATAGAACACCTAAGGCGGCCATCTTGTTCCATAAACATGCTTAACAGTTTCTATTTATTTAGATTTTTAATACAGGTCACCTCAACCATGAAGTATTATAGCCAGGCTAAAATTTTTATTTTTTTTTTAATTACAGGAATAAAGTCATAATATTATGAGAATAAACTCATATTATTAGGAGAATTAAAATGGTAATTTTAAGAGAACTACGACATAAAAAATTTAAATTACAATGAGAAATGTTGAGCATCTTTTGAAGTTATACTTTGTAATCAGTTTTAAAAATAATCTTTTATCAGATCAGGATTGAATTATTATCAGTAGTAGAACTTTAAAATGACATGCAAAAAATTGACTTTATTTAGAAAAAGAACTACACAAACTGAGGTGGTCACATCAGGTCCTGATAGTTACACTCTTCTTTTGTAATTTTTTACAGTGTTTTTTTTTTTTTTTAAATGTATTTCATAATGGGTTTTTTCTGGCTAAAAAAAACCATAATGAATTATGGGGGAGGGGTTCTGCTAATATTATGATAATATAATATCTCTGATCTAAACAAACATTCTCACAGCCTGGCCCTGATGCTCAGACATACAACTCACAGAAGGAATGATTAAAATAAATCCACTTCTCGAAAATTTTTTAAGTTATTTCTATTTTAGAAAAGGGAGAGAGCAATAATAGTAATAATAATAAAAGCCTAAAAAAGCCAACTAAAAATGGTTAAAATTAAAAAACCGGATCTGGTTTGAAAGAAAAAAATTTTTAATTGGATTTTATTTTTAATTCTCATCGCCCAGCCCTATCTGAAACTCTAACTACAATACCATGAGAGAAATGATCTGAGGTGTTAGATACAGGGTTTCCCCCAGAGTTTTGGAAGCCTGGCGGGCTACTAGGCTTGACTTGTGCCCCCACCAGGTTAAGAATTGTATATTTGTAATAGGTTTCCGGAACCACTGCCAATCTTTTACTGATCTACATGCAAAGAACTTCAGCAAAAAAAGTGACAAGTCATAGATAAAGGACCAACAAATTTTGGATACTTTAATTAGTATGAAATGACTGAAACAGATGTTTTTTTTTTTGTTTGCCTTTTAAGATTTTTACAGTTGGTGTTTAGGTATTATTAATAATATCTTCCAACAATACATAATTGCCTAGTCATATTTTCAAATTTCCTGTAAACTTTTTTAAAAAATTATTCAAAAACATGGTGGGCCATAGGATGACCGCCCTGGTGCTCCTACCACTGGTCTTAGCAAGTTTTCTGTGGGAAACCCTGTAGATGTGTGCACAACATTTAGGCATCATTTGCTTTGTTCCTTAAACTATAATCCTTACCTGCCAGTTCTGGTCTAGTAGGTCCGTGGGCGCTTGTGAGACTCCTCACGAGGAGGATCAGCCAGCATCACCTTCATCTTCACTCCGTTGACAATCCGACCGTGGAGCACGGCCATGGCCTCATCTGCACACTGACACACACAAAAACACATAAGTGAAACTCAGACCCACTCCAACCCACCAGGGTTCACACTTCTTTGTATCAGTAGGTAACTTCTCATTGGAGCAGACAGAAATCACGTGTGGTAACCCAAGGCTCAATTCTGCGACTCCTATTCATCTACATC